ACTTCATAGAGTTTAGGGTTTAGGGACTCCCTGAAGTATTGAAATGCCCAGGCTCTTAGGGACTGAGAGTGGTACAGGATTTCGTCAAACAAAACACCATGATGTACTGCAGCCGAGGCCTTATGAAGCTTTGCGTCATGAGGCCCAGACCCGGGGAATTGCTGTGGCATCAGAATTTTCAAGCTTGGGATTAGGGTTCTGCGCCAAGCCAGTCCTAACACACAATCCCAATCCCACGCAGCCATAAGCCAAGACTCAATCCTAGGTCTGGAGTATAACGCAAGGGCATTTTTGATAGAACAGTGGAGAGTCAAATGGACAGATGGATAATGAAATGGAAGCTGGGTTCATCTAGAGGTTCACATGAGTTGGTGCATTGTTTACACAATAGTTGGTATAAGGACTGAAAACGGACACAGGAATACTGCATATTGTTGTTCAGTCCAGGGTCCCGCGCCCTCAAAGTTTTACCCGTAAACCCTCAAACCTAAACTCTTGAACCTTCAAACCTCAGCCCTTAAATCCCTAAACCCTCAACCTAAATCCTTAAACCCTAAACCCTGAGTCCTGCTCCCTATAAACCCTAAGCCATCCTAAACCCTATCTCCAAGAGAAGGCAGCTAAGGGCTCATGCGCATGGGCACCTAGACCAAATTGCCCGTCAACCCCCCTACACCTGCCAAAATCCTGGGTTTAGGCTTTAGGGTTTAAGGTTTAGGGTTAGACCCTAAAACCTAATCTTTAGGGTTTACGGTTGCCCGCTAAGCTCCCTCTGAACTCTCTAGAATCCCTAAGCCCCCTAAACCACCTGATCCCCTTGAACACTGACTATCCCCTTCAACACTGGAGAACCTTTCTCAATTTGTCAATCGACCTTCCACGGGACCTTTGGGACCTTGGGCGTTGCCGTTGCCCCCAACATGAAAGTTTCTCACAGCGGTAACCGTAGGCCCGTCCAACAGGAACCTATTCGCTCCCCTTTGGTCCCTTTCATGGGGCTATCCAGGTATGTATGGTTTAGGGACCCTAACACCTAAACCCTAAAACCTAAACCCTAAACCCAGGAGTTCAGCTTTCTTTACAATAGATGGACCCTAGGTGATAAAGTAGGGTCATCGGGGCACGCTTGACAAATCTCAAATGTCAAGCCATGCGCACACTACGTGCCCGAAGCAATCAGTTGCACACGTCTACAACAACAATACTGTCAAGAAGCTAAGAGCTCTTTGCAGACCCTAGGCTCTTACTATTTGGGCCCTAAGCATTGAACCTTGAAGACAAAAGATATGCACCCTGCACCTAAAACACTCGCAAGCTCGTTTCCCAAACGCACGTCCTCCTCATTAACTGGGCCCAAGTAGTATGAATGTTGTTCCAGTAGTTGATTCAGCTGCATGGGATACGGCATGGAACGGCAGTTTCAACGCTCATATTTCGGCGTATCACCATATTCCCCGACTTCCCTAGGTCATGAAACGCAGACTGACAAAGTACAATGTCCTGCTCCAAGACGTTGAGTGCAAACCTTCTTTGGCCAAGACTGACGAGTAAGAGAAACCATACTTCTGACCTAGCGGGGACTTGTAGCCCCACATGAAGCTTCATGACCCTCTTGTAACAAGAATTCTAAGATTTGGAGGCTTGTATTGTGGCCCCTCTTATGGAAACCTTGCAAGCTTTTGCACGTGAACCATGGACCCTCAATCCCCACATCTCTAAATTCTTTGACCAACACGCTGGTTCTGCCAGGGGAAGTGGCAGGTAAGGTAAAATCTGAATAGCTACCGAGACTTCACCTTGATATGCCATACGTTATTGTAGTAGAATACATTGCAAAACCCCATGCTAAGTACTTATACCCCTACAGTATTTGACTTTGGGCCAGAGGGACTCAGGACAGTGCATGTTGTGGGTTGAGGCTTCAGAGGGGTGGGGCTTAAGGTAAAGGGTGTAAGGGTAGGCAGTAGGCTTAACACAAACCACCCTGCGTTTTCCCTAAAGCCAGATGTCCAGAACCCAAACCTTACCTAGAAGAATCTTGTTGGTCTTCCGTAGCTAGGCATGGCTGAGGTTATACAGTCTCAATGTTCAAGTCGAAGTCTTCCATGGCGCCTGAGGGCTTCTTGTGTGTCCGCTGGTTGAGCCAGGCGTTCGCTGCGAGTGTCACGGCTCTAGCGGCCACTTGCTTACATTATGAAATCCGAGACCCAAATTTGAACTGGGGCCGCTTCGGGCGTGCAGGGCCAGTCTTGGCCCTGTTTAGGTTTAGGGCGTTTAAGGTGGCACCCGACTTTAAGTCCATACTTCTTTTCTTTCAATTGGGTCAGGGCTGTTGAGCTACCCACCCTTGCTGAAAGAATCATCCGCAAATTGGATCCGATACGCCGCCTCAAACTACCACGGCACCTGTAAAGCAGTCCAGTGTAGACCACGGTCCTGTATTAGAAGGTTTAAACAGGGGCCACGGCAAGGGGTGCCATGCTAATGTGTGAGGAGGGTCGCAACTTGAAACTCAGCAGGCGCAGGGTCTTTGTGGCTGGTTGTCTGGTGCATAGGATTAAAACAATGGGTTCAGAAGTTATCGGCCCGCATTTAATGTGTTGTCACAAACATTCTGCCGCACGAGATTGCGGCAGATCGCACACAAGAGGTGTTTGTGCCGCACGAAAAAAGACGAAATCGCACGCGCTCGCACGGGATCACACGATGCAGACCCTATTAGTCCAGACCACATAAATGTGGGGCTCTCTTTAATAAGTAGGGGTCCCCCCCCTAACATTAGGGCACACGGACAAGCGAAATTAGGGATCCTCAATACGGCCCCCTGAGCTCCCACGGTTCTGAGGTCCCTGTGGATTGATTTAAAAGAGATTGTTGAGAATCCTTCCCATATTTTCAGGGCACCGAAATCAAAACACATTATAGGGGGCTCTGCAATCATTGCCTTGATCCTGAATAGGCAGGCTCCAAAACTCGTTATAGGGGACCTTTTCAGTAAAGGAGGTCCAACGTTAAGGGATTTCCGAATTTAGTGTTTGGGATGTCCCCGTCGCGTACACTAATCCGCACACGTCACACCCTCACTTAAACCTCAGCCTATTTTGAAACCTGTCCAAGGTTAGATTTGCCAGCGCTGGCTTGGCGTTGCTGCAGGACAGCGAATTAGAGTCTAGGATTGCGGGTTTAGGGCTCGGGATCTAGGATTTAGGGTTTAGTGTTCAGCCAACAGTTCACTGCTTTGGGAATCAGGGTTTCCTCGCTTAAGGTGTGCTGTTAGAAGGGGTTGTATAGCCGTTACGTTGGGATATATAGGGTTTAGGGTTCAGGTTTTCGGCGGTGGTGTTGCAAGCATCAGTATGGAGATGGGTCAGGGATGAAAACGTTAGGGTTTAGGGTTTCTGGTTCAGGGTTTATGGTTTAGGGCTTACCCTAAACCCTAAACCTTAGGCTTAGGATGGACTATAGGGTTTAGGGTTGAGAAAGCACGGGTGTTTGTGCTTAAGGGGAGAGTCTGGGAGTGGAATGCCCCACGATGGTGCTTGTAAGGGTTTAGGGTTTAGGGTTTAGGAGTTAGGGTTTAGGATTTAGGGTTTAGGATTTAGGATTTAGGGTTTAGGGTTCCCCACTCCACCTTCAGCACCAGCAAGTTATTGTAGCTATCTGCGATGCTCTCCCCACAAAAAACACAACATTACGCCATTGCAAAGAGAGATTCCGGCCAATCCCATGAATGCTGGGCCCTCTGTAGTTCAGGACCCCCTAAACCTTAAACCCAAAACACAAAACCCCGGAAGAGGGCTAGGTGTGTCCTCTGGCATACCTCAGAGTAGTATAGGCTTGTCTCCAGTACAGCCTGAGGTCGGCAGAAACCCAAGTTACAACCAATTAGCAAGAAACGTATTATGAGCTATAGTCTGAACTCCTTAAAGGGGGTTTTATAGGGGATTATGTAGGGGAGTATTAGAAGGGTTAGTAAGGGGGATGCTAGGAGTTTAGACTGAGGCTCGTTTAGCTCATCATATCATGTCTACCTGACCAAGCTTTCGCAGTTATATTTGCATGTGCCCACCTTGGTATAGCCTCTACGGCGGGGCCTGCACCAAGAGAACAAAGAAGAAAAACAGGTGCTTTGCTGTTGAAGACTAAGATTAAGTTACTGTTTAAAGGAACACCAGGCAAGAAATCACCAGGCGGGTGCCTTTACATGCGGCTTCTTACAGAAGGATTATATGGGGAGACTAGAAGTAGATAAGAGCTACACTATGCCTAACACACGGGGAACTGCCCACCTGATACTTCCTTGGGTGCCACTGCCCTCATCAGGGAAGACTGGGGGCACGTGTTAGAGGTTCTTGCAGCCAATTGAGGTTCAGGGGTTGGGGTTTCGGATTTAGGGTCTAGGCCTGTAACAACTCTGCTTAAACCCCAAAAGTATGTAAAATAACAGCCCTAGACCCATATGAGTGACTGCACGTGTAAATCCTTGAAGCCGCTTCTGTTGCAGTGTAAAGCCCGCAACCTTTGTACATTCTGAAGAATCTTTTGCTTCAAGCTCCCCCGTTTATGAAGTTCCATCTTGCCGCTTTCATAGGGCTGACCTGGCTACTCGACCGCGCAAGGCCTCGAGATCCTACACTTGTGCTGGAAGAGCTGCAGGCGCTCCGAGCAGAGGTATCCAGGACAAGAGAAACCGTGTTCGAGTTAGAGGCTGCTTCGGGTAAGTGCGTGTGGCAACTTTGGGGTCAGGGCTGGTTGCTTCGTCTTTCTGGTTTAGCCGACTTAGTGCTCATCTACATCCTAGTGGCTGGTTGGTGGGGAAGGCGTCAGCAGACACATCCAAGCTCACCGGCAAGTGCAACCCCAGCTCTCCCTTCTGGCAGCTCAGTGCGTGAATCAGTTCTCTCCGAAAGTTCTCGAGAGGATCCGGAAGGTTCGGTGTCGTCAAGCACAAATCCTGCACGCAAGCTAGGCAGGCCCACTAGGCCCTCGGACTTGAAGAAATGGCAGACCTGACTTTGGACATCAACGAGGTTCAGGTTTTGGTTCATTATCCTTTGGATGCTGACGGGTTCTTCTGGCACCACCGGGTCTTGCTACATAGGATCGAGGGGGGAGAATGGCTCACGCTGACCCCCGATCTGGAAGTTGTGAGACACAACCTTGCCAACCAGCGACATCGGGTCTTGGATCGTGCATCCCCTTTCCCGGCGGACATTGCTGATGAGATCTACGCTCATGATCCAATAGGCAGGGCAGCTTTGGCCAACTTCAAACGGCAAGCCCAGATCCAGGCGGCTATCCTTGGTGAAGGAGCACTGCTTGACCCTGAGGCCTTCCAGTGGGTGATCTCAGAGCCTCTTCGCCCGGACTTCGGCACGGCGGTGGACGCTGCGCTCCTGGGGAACGAGGCCACCGGACTGGCCTTCACGTTGAAAGGCGTGGTGCTGAAGGATGGCGAGGAGGTCTTCGTGGAGAGGGTTGGCATGGCTTCTCTTGCGGATTGGCGACGTCAACGAGGCTTGGAGACTGCTGATGTCCGTCTGTTGGGTGATCATCGAGACGCCTCTGGCAAGAAGGTCTTGGACTTGAAGACGGCAGTTTCCTTGATGAAAGCCCCTACGGATCCGGACTTCCCGATTGCCGGGATTAGAGCAGCCAAGGAGTTTCACGACAGCGTGGCGGCGGCGACCGGCAATTTCCTCAATTACCACTCCGAATGGTTGCGGCTCTCAGGGGTTTCCAAGAGACAGAGTGCGGTACATGTTCACCGAGCGCTCTGTGAAGGGCTTCGCCTCATGCACTCCTTCGACCAGATTGATGCTAGCGCCGTGGCAGTTGGGGAACATTTGACTCGTTGGGTTATTCAGATAGAGCTAGCGGTCGAACGTAACCCCCTTCAACCTGACTACTCGGGCTTGGACATCATCAGTGGAACGGCTCAGCTGGCAGATGGTCGGGCAGCCACGGCGAAGTTCTGCGAGTGGGTCACTTCTCGTTTGAAGGAAAGGGCTTCAATCTGGAAGCAGGAGCGCCTCTACATGCACGAGCGCCGCCAGATCCGAGGAAAGGGTCGAGACACAGAGGGTGGAGACTCAAGCTCGGAGGAGGAGGGCGGCAAGGGCAAGCGACGCAAGAAGAAGAAGAACAAGGAGAAGAAAGAGAAGGACCATACCGAAGCCGGCGCAAAGGGCGCCGGCGGCTCGAAGTGAGATTCGGCTCTGCCGGTGGGCCAGTGCGGGGCGGACGCCTTTGGCTCACCATGGAGGCAACGGCACATCTTTCTTAATTCAAGCTTGGTCAGGTTTCCCGATACAGGCGGCATGGTGATCCATTCCCTTTGCCGCGGCTTCCTCCTGGGGGACATCGTGACCATCAATCTTTGCATGGACGGCTGCTACAGCGAGTTGATGCTTCGGCAAGGTCTTTAAACCGGCTCGCTGCAGTCCCTTTTGTTGCCAGCCCTGCCGAGAAAGAGATCCCATGGACCAATGTACAGAAGTGGATCATGCAGGACCTCCATCGGCGAGTTCAGCTATACGGTGCGGCGCCCGAAGATTTCTCCGAGGACTCCGTCATGGCTGAGCTTGGGCATCGCAGTAGCCTGTATGAACAGGAGGCCAGACACATTGCCCCCTTGGATTTGGACCGCATCAAGATCCTGAAGAGGAGATTGCAACCCAGGATGCCAAACAGCTGGCTCCGCCTGAGGTGGTGACATACCTTCGGCACTTCGACGAGCTGGTGGAACGCACCCCGGGCGAGTTGGCAGTCCTTCATGAGAGTGGTTCACTGATTGAGCCATATTGGGATCCCAGCTTGCGGCGGTCAAGGAATCGTCGCTTGGACCTTTATCGTGCACTTCACTCCTCAGGTCTCTTTGCATTCCGGCGCCGGAGAAAAGCTCGAGTGGGGATCTTCACTGTGCGCAAGAAAGCGGGGGCCCGACGCTTAATCATTGATGCCCGACAGGCTAACGCCTGCCATCGGTCACCTCCGACGACCAGACTGGCCACTCCAGCCGGGATGGTCAACTTGGACATGTCGGCCCAGACCTTGGAAGCGGACGGCTATGGCGGCACACTTGGTGATCCAGAAATCTCTGCTGAGGCGGGTGATGTGGGGGATTGTTTTTATAACTTTCAAGTACCTGAGCTCACTGCTTGGTTCTGTACGGATGATGTGTTCTCTCGTCGGGATGTTCGCGAACAGCTGGGCTTCGATCTCACCATGGTCTACGACGACTCCCTCGGCTATGAGACCCCACTCGGCGAGGACGAGCACGTGTACGCGGCCTTCGGCGGCATCCCTATGACATGACAAGCACACGGTTGGGCCCGGAGCCGGAGGAGATCCGTGACCGCTGCCCTCCTCCTCGTCTCGTACCTGGCCATGCCATCGTGGGGACCTACGTGGACAACGTTCACACCTTTGGAGCACAGCAGGGGGTGGCTTTAAGTTGCTGGGCATCCCCTTTGAAGTGGACGGCGTGGAAAAACAACGATGGATGGACAGCCTCGGGCTCAGACTTGACTTCCGGGATCGGTGCGCAGCTAGGTCAAAGGAACGCTGGGCCTGGGAACTGTGGTTCGCTACCAGGGGTCTTCTTCGACGTGGACGGGTGTCGGGCCAACTCCTTCGGGTTTACCTTGGTCTGGCAAACTTCCACTTCCAGCTGATGCGACCTGCGATGAACTCAAATTGGCGCTGGGGCTCATTTTTCTGGTGGAACACGACATGTCCGCTCCCTTCTGCAAAGAGGTCCATATCGGGGATTCTTCGGATAGGGGTTATGGACTGATGGTGACGGAAGCTCGGCATTCTGAACTGCGTCAGGCACTTCTCCATCGAGAACGGTGGCGGTTCATCATCAGTGACGAGCCCGATGCTCGCAAAGCCGGCCATGATGAATTTGATCATGGTCGCCTTGGTTTCCCTGGCAGTGCTCCCTTTGCGGGTGTTGGCGGTGGAACTGCGTACGGCCAGGATCTCAACTTTCGCATCGGAGAAGAGCAGCACACTCTCCTCTTCAAGCAGCGGCGCTCACGACTACTTGGATCACCGGCTCCTTTGCCTACCTCAGCGGTTCAAGGTCCTTCGATTCCTCCGGTGGCCCATGAATGGGATGATCCTCTTCGTTGGCATCTTGTTACGACTGGGCCTTGGCAATTCCCACGCGAGCACATCAACATCAAGGAGGCGAGAGTCTGCGTAATGGGACTCAGGCGTCTATGCCGGACGGCCAAAAACTGTGGCACCACCGCGCTCACCTTGACGGACAGCATGGTGGCATGCCTGGCCTTTGAAAAAAGGGCGCAGCGGGTCTAGTGGACTCAATGCTCTCTGTCGCCGGGCAGCGGCTTACAGCATTGGGTGCCGAATCCAATGGCGTTTGCGCCGCATCACCACGGACCGCAACGTGGCGGATGAGCCATCACGGAGGTGGGGGCCGGACTTTGAGAGACCATCCGGCAACAAGCATCGAGGAAGGCGGAGCACCATAGACGATGCGACCCAGGGCGTTCGCGTTGACGCTGGCCTTTCGGGGCTGGGCTCTACACCGTCTACGGGATCCCGCTCTTCTTCTTCAGCGAGGCTGCCGGCGACTTCACCAACTTCGTGGCCGACCTTGGCAGCCTGCCCAGCTACCTCTTCTTGCTCTTCAGCGTCTACACCGCGCTACTTCCTCGAGGTCTTCTCCGGCACGGGGCGGCTCACTCGAGCATTGGCAGGAACAGGGATGCGAGTACTTCCAGACATGGAGGTTGCGAAGGGCCACCAGTTTGACCTCCTCAATCCCTCCGTCCAGAAGGTCATCTTTGGTCTCATTCGTGATGGTCGGGTGTGGTGCATTCATTTTGGCACTCCATGCACAATTTGGAGTCGAGCTCGACACAACATCAAGAAGCTCGCGCAAGCTCGAGAAAAAGAAGCACGTGGGGTGGCCTTGGCATTGTTCACTGCCCGGGCCATTCGTCTTTGCCTGGCGGTTGGGGTCCACTTCAGTTTGGAGAATCCGCAAAGCAGTAGACTATGAGATTTTGGACCCATCAGAGACCTCCTAAAGAACCCCTCCGTGCACTTCTTCAGCTTTCACATGTGCGAGTGGGGAGTCCAGTATAAGAAACCCACAAGCTTGATGACGAGCCTTGAGTCATTGCAGAGGTTGATTCGCACATGCAGTCATAATCATACACATGTTGCACTTCGCGGTACTGAGAGAGTTCTGATTGACGGCAAGGTGGCTACTAGAAATCGCGCAGCAGGAGCAGGAGCCTATCCAGAATTGTTGTGTGCAGCCTGGGCTCAGCAGCTTAGGCAGACATGCCCTGAGGAATGCCTCGGGGTCGCACTTCCCAAGGATGTGGCCATCTACCTCAATGGCCTTGAAAAGGCGCAGCTGCGAGCTCACAGCCTCCGTCAAACAGTTGCCGGAGGAGCTCTTCGCCGGGCTTACCAGGACACGGACGAGTGCTTCCTCCTCGACGCCAGACGCTACCTCAAGACACACCCTGTCGTCTTCGGCAACTTCACGGCTCAGGACCTCGCAAAGCTTGTTGGCTACTTCGGCTACTCCGGGCTCGAGCCTCGACGCTACGCTTCAGCTCAGGCGCCGCGTCAAACCAAGGACGGCTCCAGACGGCTCACAGCTTCCAGCTCGGCTACAACTTCGCGCCCTCAAGGTCACTCAGAAGACGTTGGACAGTTACCACCGGCACGTTCAAGACTTTGAGGCGTGGGCCAGCAGCAAGCGACAAAAGGTCACCGCAAAGAACCTGGACCGGTTAGTGGTGCGCTACCTCACTCAGTTGGCTCTCGAGGATGCGGTGCTCCCCTCTGAAGGCGCCTACCTGGTGTTTGGCCTTCAGATGCTCAAATGCACCGTACCGAAAGCTGACTTTCTTCCTGAAGCCAAAGAGGCTTTAGCAGCCTGGCGAAAAATCGCCCCGGGCGGCATGCGGCTTCCGCTGCCAGAAGAGTTCGTGTTCGACATGGCTACTCTGGCCATAGATGAAGCTCATCTCGACATAGCCTTTGCCATGGTGCTTCAGCTAGACACGTACCTTCGCCCTTCGGAGTGCCTGGGCCTTCCTAGACTACACATCGGCTTTCCAGCCGGTGGCCGCTACAATAGGTGGTCCATCGTGGTGGCTCCTTTTGACCTGGGCAACTCCACCAAAACGGGCAAGTACGACGACTCAGTCCTCGTGGCAGACAAAGCAGACCGGGCCTGGCTCACCGAAGCCATGCAACTGTACATGGCTAAAGTCACGGATGAACTTTTTCCATCTTTGACCTTGGCCAAGTATGAGAAGTGGCTCAAACGAGCGGCTACAAAACTTGGCTACAAGACTCCCTGCGTCATGCCCCACATTTTGAGGCATGCTGGTGCTTCAAACGACGCCTTCCACAAGAGGCGTTCACTGGCTGACATTCAAAAGAGGGGCAGATGGGACGCCAAGAAGAGTGTGGGCCGCTATGAGAAGCATGCGCTTCTTCTGAAACGGTGGGAGCAGGCTGACTCGGGTCGCAAGCAGACCATCCGAGTCAGATCCCAGGCGCTGCCAGGACGTCTGCTGTCAGCGCTGCGACAGCGGTAGAACACCACAAGAAGGACCGGAATGGGAAGTGTGCAAAGAGCAGCAGAGGGGCATCGGTGGGCTCAAAGGCTTACCAACGATGCCCTCCTTTTCACTTGAGTTAGTGCCAACGAATCCGCAGGACACTGGCAGAGACCCACCTGGCGTGGCAAAATGGTGGGCGACACAGCTGAAGGCCTGCCGGATTTGTA